GTCAATATTGGTAATTTGAGTTTCTAGTTTGTTCAAAACTACAGACTTAGTATTTTGACTTCACAAACATCTAATTTGAACCAGTGCTGCATTCAACATACCATGTGACATGTAAAATTTGATATTTATCTGTGTTTTTTTAATATTTGCTTTTACATTAAGAATTTGAGAAATATATAGTACTAAAACTTGAATTATAATCTACAGTTTGATACCAAACTTATTGACATAAATTCATGAAATAATAGTTCAATACAATTTTGAATGCGAGTCAACAAACGGGATGACATGGCCTTTCACCCATGGCCTGTCTGGAAAGGGATAAAAGGTATGAATGTATTCTGGCTTGTAACTGTTTATGACTGATAAATGAAACAATGTGTAAGCAGTTCTTTTAACTGTTGAAATAAGGATTATTCATGTGCTATTTAATTATTTGCTTTGAAAAATACATGACATGTAAATTTGAAGCTCTGTTGTTACTTACTATTTTGTTATCCTAAAAATTTATTGTGTTTTTTACTTTGTTATGCTGTGCATAGGAACATTTAGAACATTACTGTAATAAAAATAAATTATCAAAACTTTCTTCTTCATCATTAATACCACAAAAGGATTTTATTGCATAAGTAATTAGAAGTTCTTGAATATTTAAATTTTCATTTGGTACAGTGAAGCCATTTGTGAGTGGATGTTTGAGCTAGCTAGGGAAATGAGATCTACGTGTACCAATAAAGGTTAGTGCACGTTTTCTCTGTTGTGTAAATGTCTTCAAAACATCCTGTGCATTTTTATTTCTTTCATCTATGGTTAAGATACCCCATCTATTTTATTAGATGTGTATGCAAGTACACATACAAGTATTTACATACATTTATATGATAATTTACAGTAGTTAAACCTTTTTTAAACCGATGATGAGTAAGGTCAGCAGTGTGCAAGGTGTATGCTAAGAGTTACTAGATGTATGTGAAAATAATTTTGGACAAAAAAGCATTATAAGAGCTATTTATAATACAAATGAGGTTGATTAATTGTGATTACAATTTACTTACAAAATAGTCCACACTGTGTGTAACTAGCTCTTTAAACTTTTACTTTTGTGTTTGCCATGCTTTAAATGCTTTGCTAGTTTTTTATGTCTTTTCATGTATTTCTAAGGAGGATCAGTGTGTTCATATATATCTACAAATTGTGTTTTAGTAGACAAATAAGTTCTGAAATTCCTAAAATTTTATTGTTAATCAAATATTCAGAATTTTATTAAAAAAATACACAAGTGAAATCTATTAATAAATATTTTTTTTTCACCGTTAGCTGTTATTTTACAATCAGATACATTTATGGGATTTTTCATCAGATTCTCATAATTTTAGCTTAGTGACTTGTATTATTGGTCTACATACATGATAGTGGGCTTGAAAATAACCAAAAAAGAAAATTTTTCAATTTGTTGTTTCCTTGCAAATGTCATAATGATAAAGCGTCTTTAGAAAGCTGCTTTTGATATAAAAAATAAAAATTTATGAAAAAAAATTAATGTACATTAATATTCTGTTAATGCTTTTTAAACAAATTTATACATTCAGTAGTGTTTTCTTATAAAACAAACTTACTAAACAGTATCTTTTGTTGGCTTAAAAAATTCATACATTTTTTCTTTCATTCTTATGTTGTGAAATTTATAAAATTTAGTTGAGACACACTGTCTTAAAGCAAAACATTAAAACACTTTCTCTCATTTTAGAATTTTAGTTACTTCCTTAATGTACACTAATATTTTATTAATGCTCTTCGAAAAAATTTTTACATTCAGTAGTGTATTTCTATATGTCTTATGTGACCTCATAATCAAAATTAGGTGCTATCACTCATGTAGAACTTAAGGGTTAATAAGAAAATATGTTTTTAATGGAAAGATTTTTACAATTTTGTCGTTTTTAAAGTATTTTAATAAATTAGTTCTCAGAATTGCTAATAAAATCTGTTGCAAAATTCATAAGTTTTACACTTAAAAAAAACATGTTTTGATACTGTATATGAAAGTGTATCATTATATTTTTTTGCAATATTTATTCAAAGTCAAAATAAGATTGGTTTAAGTAATGGTTATTAGTGTTTTTAATTTGTAGGAATTTATATGATGTGATTGCTTGAAGTACATTTTTTATTTGTAAATCAGTATACTTCAAAAAATGTATTAAAAAGTTAGAGCACTGATTATTTCCTTGTTAGGGTTAAATGTGTAGGCATTGTCACCAAAATTCATATTCTCAGAAAAGTATACCAATATTTTATTGCGTTATTCGTTATTTATAGAAAATACAAGTTTGGAGATAGCTTGACTATCTCAAGCTATCTCCAAACTTTTAAATGAAGATTCAACTCTTGACCATAAGAAATTCACATTTCTTTCAACAGTTTTCCCAGGGAATTTTAAAGTCTGTCACTCTCAGAATCACAGTGTTTCCAGTAGAAGTTGTTTCTTGGCAGAGACCACTGCTAACCAACTGGATCCTTGTCGTACACACAATAGTTCTTCTAGTTCTTCACAAAACATTAGCATTTCTAGCAAATCAGAAGAGTTCTTGAGCAGTAATACTGTGGTAAGTTTTTAATTTACTTGAGTTTTGTTGCAATAGAAATATTTAATTGTTATCCCTAAGTGTGTGACATTCATATAATTTTCATTAGAACAAATTTACTAAATAATATCTAATGTTGGCTTAAAAAATGTATACAATTTGGTATAGTTTTTTTATCAGTTTTTATGTTGTGAAATTTCTGAAATGTAATTGTGAGATATGTGCTGTTTTGAAAGAACATTAAAAACTTCCTTTCATTTTTTCATTTCAATTTTTCATTATGTTGGTCAGAAAGTTCCATTTTATATATATATATATAGTCAGTTTCAACTTGATTGATAGTCACTGACATACTTATCTTGCTCATTACAGTAGTCTATAAATCATAAAACTACAGAAAGTGACAAAGATTTATAGGTGACCTTGGATTTGACCTTTCAAAATCAGAATAAATCAGATTAGGCAACGATAGTTTTGCTAAAACTTTGATATGCAGGTGTGCATGCGTTTGACATCTGAATGATACTCACTGCTCTGGAAGAGGTTAATAGTTTATATGTGATTAGAAAATGTAATACTTTCAAAAGACTGTAGCTCAGCATGTTGGAAACTGTGTGAAGTTGACCTAGTGTGCACCACATAGGCAAATTAAAATATGTTTATTGTAGTTTTGTTTAATAACTTTAGTAGTTAGTAGCCTTAATACTAAATTTAGTTTTGACTTCATTATGAACAAACATACTCTTATGGCATATTTGTATAGACTTCAGAAATAATAGTGATTTGTTACATATGCTTATATAGTTACATTTATGAAATGATTTAAATATCTATATATGTAGTATTGAAAGAAAGAAAATATATGTATTTACAGGAAGAACTAGATATATCGCACCAGATTGAAATACTTACAGAAATGTTTCCTAATGCCTGTATGTCAGAAATTCAGCATTGTGTGAGCATTTCTGGTGAGGATTGTGAAAAGGCAGCACAACTGATTCTTCAAAGGCAGGAAACATCTAAAAACTTGACAAGTCCTTTGGTAAAGAATTCAAACACAAAACCTAAAACCCATGGGCCAGCAGATAATGTTCTTGATAATGAGAAATTGAAACACCAGATCCTCAGCAAGTAAGATAACAAAATATTAATTGATTTGTTTAATGTTTTTCTTTTGTTTTTTATTTAAAGGTTAATTTTAGTCGATGTAACAACATCAAAATTGTTTTAAGTCATAATCAGGGCTTGACATTAACTTTTGAATCCACTTGGACATATGGGCGTTAAATTTCTTTTGCCTAAAATTGATATTCAGTTTTTCACAGATTTTCAATAAGAATGTGTGCTTGTACTAAATTTGTTAAGTGATAACAGAAGAAGTAATTACTCAACACAAGAATTTCTATAAAACGACTAGTGATTTATTACAGAGCTAAAATGGGCTCTCCCACTGTCAGTTCTGTAGGACGTATTATCTGTTAAAACCATGGTGACACTGTAATTTCTTAAAATTTTTGACAAGTCATTTATATTCAAAATTATTCAAGACAACTTGTGTGAAAGATCAGTCAGTTATTTTGTGACATCTAAAAAGAGTGTGCATGTGTCATCAAATATTAGCAGTAAAACTGCCAGAAATTCTCAAAGGTAAACAACAAATTATGTAGATAAATTTAGTTGTCTGAATGATGGTTTCACTTGTTCTGGACAACTGTTAGTGTTGAGCACTAAATTTATGTTAAAAATTTTAGAATATAATGTAAACTGTGTTACACATCACTCGTATATTCACTGAATTGAAAATGGACTTAGCTTGTTCACAATAGTCTGAGTTAATTATTTTAGATTTTTAAAAACTTTTGTCATGAAAAGATGAAGCACACTAACTTCTTTCAACAAGCATGCTGAAATATTAAGAAAACTGCTATATGGCTTCTTTAACTGGATGTACATAATGTTTTGTCACTGTATGACTATACTGCTTTTAAGACAATATTCAACAGTGATCAATAATGATTAGCTTAGCACTTTACAATTTTATACTAATATTTTCATTATACCTCCACTTGACAATGTTATTTGTGATTGATTCCAGAACATATATTATCAGGCACATATCTAATTTGGTACATTTCCCTAACCTGAATAATCCAGTTGATAGATTCTGCCAATTTTCAACTGAGGTTACTGAATTATTTGAGTTAACATTTTGCTTGTGACCAAGCCATTTGTGACAGTGTATCTGCAAACTGCATGCTATTTCTATCAAGAAGATTCATCTACTGTGGCAACTATGAGTAAAAATAACAAATTTGTAGACTCTATAGACCCTCTGGAAAAATTTAGATCATCTGTTTGGAAATATTTTGATTTTCAAAGGTATAGAGAAGGTAGTGGCTTTGTTGTAAAGTTTTAAATTTTTTTGAAGAAAAACGTTGAAATTCAATAGAATGGTTTTATTTATAATTTAAATTGTATTCAGGAATAACCATTTGTACTTGTGACCTCATATTTGTGATATGTCACTTATTTACTACTTAGTGTATTTATTACAGCTCTACACATCACAAACATGAATAATTCTTTTAAATCAGGTTTTTGCTGTGACATGTTTTATGATTATGAACAATTATCATGGAATGGCTTTAGGAACAAGTTACTATGTGAAGATGCATTTAATGAGAATTTCTTGTAGGTTTACATAAGAATAAGTACTAAGTGTTTAATTTATTTCCGCTGACATTTTATACAGACATTTTTGTTGGGGTTAAAACAACAAAATGTCTTTAGGGTAATGTTGTAATGAATCAAATATTTGTCTATAATCAGCACAAAAGATTAGAAGTAACCATGTGATATATTTCTTTACTGTAGAGTATAAAATGTTTACAAAACCTGCTTATACCTTATGGTATTGCATAGATGAGTCTTCCGTCAGGATGCTGTATTATTTATGCTGTAGTATTATTTATCAGGAACCTGTTATGAAAAAATGCCAGCTTTATGTACGAAAGCTTTATTTTTCATTACATATCCAAATTATGTTTGCGTGAAATCAGATAAGCTGTGTATGTATTTTGTAGGTATGGCTACATTGATCAGGATGATGACGTGCGAAAACATAGACCAATAACACCCAAAGCAGTAAGTATAAAGATTTAATGTATCAGCACTCTGTGAGAAAAAAAAATCAATCTGAGAATTTAGAAAATATTACACTGTAAATAATAGTTAATGTGTAGGAGAGAGAGTATGTATATGCATATGTATAAACAAATAAGTAGGTGATTGGAAATCCACTGAGGTCACAGACTTCATCTCAACCCAAGACCAAAAATAGAGTGTGATAAGGACAGCTTCTCTGTGTCAAATTCTGTCTTGGAGGGATAACGCAAGTTTTAATAATACATCATTATGTGGTATTGAGTTTTGCTGTATTTTACTATAGCAGAAATTGCACAGCACCATTTTGCTATTTCTGTTTCACACATATTGGACAACTAAATTCTTTTTGGGATGAACAAATTGAGAAAGATGTCAAGAAATACATTCACACAGACCTAGCTGTAAAAAGATAAAGAGCAAAACTATTAATCTCAATAGGGTTGTGTTATTCATCTTGTTCCTTATGTATAGTCTCAAGTGAGTTGTGGCTCACAACTAACTTTTGTGTACATTCATTTAGTTATGAGGGGCCCCGGCATGGCCAGGTGGCTAGAGCGCTCGACTCGCAATCAGAGGGTCGCGGGTTCGAATCCCAGCACCACCAAACATGCTCGCCCTTTCAGCTGTGGGGGCGTTATAATGTGACGGTCAATCCCACTATTCGTTGGTAAAAGAGTAGCCCAAGAGTTGGCGGTGGGTGGTGATGACTAGTTGCCTTCCCTCTAGTCTTACACTGCTAAATTAGGGATGGCTAGTGCAGATAGCCCTCATGTAGCTTTGCGCGAAATTCAAAAACAAACAAGTTATGAGGGTTTAAAATGTTTCAACATGCACAGAAAATTTACTCCTATGAATTATTTCCTTGAAATTGCTTCACTGGACACTTGAACATTTCCAGTTTTTAGTCAGCCCCAAACCCCTGTGTGCCTGAAGCAAGTATTTGAGGTCTTTCAAAGTTTTGCTGTATCTATTTTTCATCTATGTAAAAGAAAAAATATATATTAGTTTATCTGTTGAAACTTATTTGTGACCTTACAGCTTTCACAAAAAAAATGTAACAATTTCAAAATGTGTGCAAAGTGTATGAATAGCCAAGGCATGGTAAGTCTGGCGATTGCTTATTTATTAGTGCTGTTAAATATTTTGATTTTTTGAAAAATAGATAGTTAATTTTATTTCAAAAAAAATTATACATACCTAAGATTTAATTAATAGGTCTATACTTAACTTCTCCTCCAATTTGATGATCTAGCTCTACGATTTTTGTTTTTTGGCTCTTTCTGTTTTCATCCTTGATATTTAATGATCACTAGGGGTGCGAATCTTATCATAGTAGTTGATACGATACGTATCTAGATACAAGAGTTTTACGTATGGTTTGTTACAAAGTTTGACAGTATTGTGTATAAGATATTATCCATATTACTAACATTGTCTCATTTAAGTACTTCACACTTTACAGTACTTTTTCGAATTCTTAGGTTTGATCAACTAAATGGCAGCTGGCAAGAGAAATAAAAAAAAAATTAATATCTGTCTATCTATTTTGTTATTGTTAATTTGTTATATTACTTTGCATGTAATGTTTTTGATAAAATAATTGAAGACAACATGTAGTATTCAATACTCATCGTCCTTTATTGAATCACTAATTATTAGAAATTCTTATTTTTTTCTATACAAAAGACTTATAATGTTTACTGAAAGCTTGTCAAATTTCGTGAAGATTCATAAATCGTATCATATTGGATGATGTATCGATACAATCATATCACGTCTTAACTATAAGATACTCGTATCGGGTCACTGCATCACCAAACCTTTAATAATCATTCAAAGTCAATGAGAAATCACATTTGTAATAACTTGACAATTTCCAATTCTTCAAAACACAGTTTTTAAGAGTGCTTGTAATGAATCACATTTATGTGTTATAAATCATGTTTGTGTAATATTTCTTTAAACTGTATGGGTAGATGTTCAAAATATTGTTGAACTATTGACTCATAGCACTGCATCAGATGACAGTGGGTATTCATGTTAGTGCACTGTCAATTATTTAGGGTACTTGAATATTGTATATGAACACCATATGTTTGAAATACATATGGTGTCCATCTTAGTGAACATGTAAATTATTAGCTGGTCCTTATACAGAGTTCATGTTTATCAAGTAAATATAAGATCCATCATAAGGAGTATCTAGACTGCTTATTGTTCCTTATCTAAGCAAATAATCTATATTAAATTAATTTGAGATCCACTTAATTTGCATATACTTAGGCTTCACTTCAGTCAATTTTTGAATCATTTTTTGACCAACTTTTATACAAAATCCATGTGCAGCATGTATAATTAGTATCTGTATGATGTGTGGTTTGGCTTCTTTCCTATGATCACGTAAATGTTCTACTGTTTTCTGTGAGAGATACATATTTATTATGTATAATCATAATGAGGTTTAATTGTCATTAAGTTCATATAAATTATCACTGATCGTTTTATTCAATCATCTCTGTTATGTAAGACCTGAAACATAACTTTTTTTTCTTCCTTTAGGAACCTGAAAAGTTGGTCCGTTACCGTGACAATAAAGTAGTGAGTATGAAAGGTGAAAGATATTCTAATATAAAGAAAGAAGAATCTGAAGAAATGAAAAAGACTTATATTTCTCTCAAGCCAGCTCGTCAATACCGATTTCACTAAATATTACTTTCTTTAAAAAATTTGATTTAATGAGAAAAAAAATTTATGCTAAAGAGTGTAAAAAAACATTGGTGGTGGAAGTAAAAATTTATTACTTTTGAGTTGGATTGATTGATTCTAGAATGGTTTTTTAGGTGATAAATCTGCTCCTTGTCACACCTTAATATTCTGAGTGTAAAAATGCAGGTTTTGCTTGAGCAAACAGGATGTTTCTATGTGCACTGGATAATTATATAACCATAGTCTGGTTTTTATGACATTTGATTTCCTTTATCAGCACAATTCACCTGTTTTAGTAAGTTCTTTATATTCCATCGCTTAGATTGCTAATAAAAATTCAAAACTTGGTAAAAGTTAATGTGCTAGTTATCATTCATCTTGCAGATACTGGAAATAGCAAATGTAAAGAATGTTAAAGTGGTTCTGTTTGTAGACTGATACAGTGATATTTTCTTAAGTTTTAACTTGTATACTGTTTTGGTGTGTGTTGATGAAACAAATGTATAATTTGTGATTCATTAAATATGTTAGGCTAATATCTAAGCAGAGTAAAGCACAGAAGCCAAACAGGGTATAACCATTTTGTGGTAGATTGCAAAAAAAAAGATAATTTTCCATGTTTTAATATAAAAAAAACTAGTGCTATAGTATAAAAAAATAAACCAAATGGACATAATTTACTTTTTATGCTGAACTTCCAACTCTTTAGTTTATTAAGGTTTTGAAAAAGAAAAGAAAAATGTTTCATACATTTGTCATCTAACTAAAACAATTTTGAGGATAAATTGTAGGGTTGACTAAACAGTTGATAAACTTTTGAATGAACAAAGCAGAGAAATAATGTCAAAAGACATTTTTTGCTCAAAGTATTATAGCAGTTTTACTTATTTGAAATGTCTGTTGTGTTGTGTGGAGGTATTTGTTAAGATGAATAAATTGAGGTATAAGATAACAGTTAGGTTAACCCTTAATTCAACTGCTTTTAATTTTAATGTTCTTATACGATCAGTTGGGTATACATATATATTTTTGGAGCACATGCCATGGAGGTGTTAATTAATTTAGTCATTATGTGTACTTATTAATGCAGTTACTTGTTTTTTTATGATATGAAATTCTTCAGTATGTATTTCAGTATTCATGAAACAATGTCATAAAAACAGAACTTTAATAACAGCTGGAAATTTTTCAGAAGCTAAGTTTTTATTATCTGCTTTCCACAATGTTTTGTATAATTTTGCTCTTGTTATTCATCTTTGGATGTCTTTTTGTTAAATAATGCAGTTGGCATTTACTTTTGGTTTTAAAATCCATTTTGTATTTTTCTGTTGACACATAAAAGGTAGTTTACAAAAGTATGGTCTTTTTTTTTGGAGTAAGTGTGTTTTATTGTACTTCTATGTGTAAAATATAGATCATCTTGTGTCTGTAAAGTTTTTATAGATTGTAGAGAATGTCATACTACAATCCAAATAAAAGTCACTAAGTAAATTTAACGACAATATTAATTTCTAGAAGACAACTCGTTAAAGTTCTCTGGCATATAGGAAAAGGAATAAATTAATTAAGCGATGCTATATAAATGGATGATTTAAAAAGTTTTTTTTCTTTGGTTTTATTGTTGAAAGCTTGATTAACTTGGGATAGTATATGTAATCTATAAAGTTTGTGATTTTGTATGTAAATGTCAGACTTTTGTAATATATGCCAACAATAAAATCTCATTTATACTTTTAGTATATATGAAAACAAGCTGGAGTGTCATCTTTCCATATACAGTATCTTTATAAATTCTAAACTTCATTTTATAACTCTGAAGTATTAGGATATCATTGATCATAATATGTACTGTAAATACCATGTTGATTTAGAAAACCTTAATACAAAATTAGGGAGTTGATAGAACTACAGATCAAGTTGTAATACTTTTGATAATACTTATTTGCATCTTCCATCACTTGATAATAATGATCTGTGTACACAAGATACTACTTGATATTATGGATGCTGTATTATGTCACAAGTTTATTTTAATATTAATTTTCAGAAGGTTCCTGTATAGTTTTACTTGAAAATATTATAAAAACGTACTGACTGACCAGTTTCACCATTATGTTGAACCAAACAATGATTGGTGGTTAGTGTGTCAGGTTACAGCTTAGAAGGTTCAATCCATGATATGCCACTGAACATGGTGTGGGGAATAGTCAATCCTGCTGTTTCGTTATGATTTAGTGTATAGGAATGGATGTCATTTTCTGATTATGTTTTCTCTGGTAAGCAGTTCTAAGCTAGTGATGACTGCCTGAACTTTTAGAGGTTTCTGATGTTGTCAATTAGTCATATATAACATAAGGTGTCATTTACGTTGACATTATCAATACCATCACTAGTGTAATATGCTACATTGTAACATGATGGATGGGAAGCTCTTAATTATGGAAAGCAGTGTTTATACGTACTTAAAACGTGATATAATAACACATTCATATTTAAATTTTTCAGGAAAATAAAGTCATTTTGAAGCAAGATATTAAGTTTTCTGTATGTCTTATCATAGCTGCAATACCACATAAGCTATAAGCATTGTGGTGTAGCTTTAAACCAATAGATTATGAACATCTATGGAACTTTATGATTAGTTATGTTTCTTTGATAATACTTAACTGGATTCCTTAGATACACAGTAGCCATAAAAATAAAACCAATTCTATATATCAATATCCCTGTTAGTAACTTAAGATTTTTAATAAATAATATATAATAATAAGAAATAATTTTTTGAACATTAGCAGCAGTAACAGTTTGAATCATTGTGGCTATTGTGTTTTCTCAAAGTTTGGTGTAATGTGATTCATTTTTTCCTGGAGCTTTGTTCAGAGGCTTTCCCTAGTACAGTTGGTACTTTTGTCAAGCGTGGGATCCAGCAGATGCCAGGTTTGTTCTATGGGGGTTAAAGTTCATGTTTTGTAGCCGCCATTCTATTCATTGGAGATCTCTTGAGCTTTTTTTCTTTGCCAATGAGCTTGACATTGTTTGGAAGTGTGTTTGGGGTCAATATCTTTTTGAAACATGAAATTCTCCCAGTCTGGTTCTTTCCAGAGGGTATAGCATAATGGACTAATAGATTGCATTATGTATGCTTATCCATGATTCCACCAATTTTGTGAGGATGGGCAAGATCATTTGTACACATTACACCCCAAACCATCACAGAGTCTCCTATGTTCCTCTGTTAGTAAAAGGCACTCCTTCTGCAACCTGTCATTGACTCTTTGGCAAATATATACACTATAGACTCGTCTGTCCAAAATGCATTGTATCATTTTTAGGAAACCAGGATACACATGTTTTATAAAATGCTAGTCTCTTTGTGGGGTAAGGGCATTCTTGCTGCTACTCTTGGAATAATCTCACACTTCTCCAATGTTCTTGAGATTGTACTTATTAAAACTACTTGTGCATAACATGTTAATGTCACCAGCCAAACATTTTCACAGTTTTTTTTAAATTTTTAAGAGAACTGATTTTTAGATATCTAACATCTCATTCAATAACCTTTTTTTTTTTTCTGTCTCATCTGATGTTATAGGACTGGGTTTCTTTGTATCTGCTCAATGTGTAATTCACAGTACTTGGTGAATAGTCGAAGTCTGTTATAATTCTTCTAAAACTCAAACTAACATTTTGTAAAGATTTGACTCTGACTGTCAAAAGTGTTAACTCTATGTTTTGGTATTTTTATGGTAATATCATGCTATATTATCTATTATGGACGATGTAGTTGAAGAAAACGGACCACTCTTTACCTACATGTTCCTGCACGAAAATGTGATAATCTTAAATTATTGTCATTGATTACTGGTACAGAAACTAAAAGCAATTGTGTGACGATTTTAAACAACTTTTCATTTAGATTAGGTATCTTGAATAATGTTTAAAACATATGTACCACATTTAATCATTTGTGACAGTGTGTTGGTTTTGTGTTAAAATGTTAAATCAATTAAATTTAAATGTATAGCATGTTAAGGTCGTAGATAAAATGCCTATTTTGATGTCCTTTCTAACATTTTAAACTCCGATAGTTTTATTTCACTTTAAAGCTACAAGAGTAAAGTGATATTATACAACATTTGCACATTAATAAGTGTGGAGTTGTAGGAGGCATATTAAAAATGGAAGAGGACAAGGTTTATTCGACCGAGCGAAGCGAGGGAATATGCGCTACAAGCGCACCCATTACGGCTGGGTCCAGGGCTCGCCTTAGGGCGCTGGAAGCTCTTGGGTTCTGTATTAAATTTTATGCATTCTTCCGCTTTTCATAAGAGTAATTTTCCTAATGTTGATAAATTTTTACCGGGACAGATTGTAAAAATGAGGGAGACCACTTCCTAAGCCACATATATGTATATGTGTGTGAGTATATTTATGTTATCTGTTATTTATTCGCTAAAAACTTTGCTTTTAACCTTCTCACTACTATTAAGTACATATATATAAAGACCCTTTCTAGAGCACACGAGAGTTTGGAAATTTGTATCACGATGAAGAACTTGATGGTCTATAAACATTGCAGTGATAGAGTTATGAATACTTAACGTGTTTGAACACTCCGACATTTAACAAACGTATTTATAGATTTTATATTTTCACACTTTTTGATGTTTGATATGATTTATCTTTTACTTGGAATATAAAATCACATTTTATTGTTCTATGTGGAAATTGATAAGCCATCTGTTTCTTTCTTTTTTTATGCCATTAAGTACAAAATAGCGGCCATAAAAATCGCCCGTTTAAAACCAAATTTATAATGTCTGAATATTAACAATGACTATTTCAAAGTATTGGCTTCGCAAAACTAAAGCATATTGTACTTTATAAAGCCACCTAAATCGCCATATACGTGTTTGTGGAGTGAATCAAAATTTCACTATTTCAATGAATTTTCATCTTAAGTAAGTAAGTGTCTTTTCCAGACAAGCGTACAGAAAAAATGACTAACCTTATTGCTCTAATTCTTTCACAGAACTCTACCGTCTGGGGTCCCAATGGTATATATATATATATATAAAGGACGATGTGCTACTTTGGACGTATAATTAGATTTGAGGGTAGGTTGGTAGACATTCTGATGAGTAATAAAATCGAATTGGCTATACGCGCGCCTCATGATTGGTATTGCTGGCGCCAAAAATATAGCTAATAAAAAGGAAACAAGTACAATAAAAAAAATGTAAATGTTATAAAGACAAGTAGGGATCGATATATACGTAACCTAGCTAGTTATAGTGATATAGAAAGTTTGAATGCTACAAAAGTATTGAAACAAGAAAGTCAGAACTTAAAAAAACGAATTACGTAAATTTATCTAAATTTTAGGTAACTCAGTTTTGTAGTTTTGACTTTTTTATTTTAATACTACAAAAACTGAGTTACTTAAAATTTAAATATATTTAAGTAATTCAATTTTTTGTTTTTGACTTTCTTGTTTCAATACATTTGTAACACTCAAACTTTCTATATTACTATAACTAGCTAGGTTACGTGTATATCGAACCCTACTTGTCTTTATAAAATTGAAAACAATTTTATTTTATTTGTATATATAGATATGAAG